ATAATTACAGCGATAATCAATTTAATATGCGTACGAATGATATTAGGACGTGCGTTTCTATATTGTAATATACTACAGGTAGAGGGGTGTGGGTGCGGTAGACGCGATAATAAAATAGGCGACCGATATAATTTGTTTTTCGTCAAACCTATCATCACGTATTTATAATAATAATAATAATAATTCCTCTCTGGTTGTTTGCTACGTGGATTTATTACACACCTTGATATTAGTATTATATTTTAAAACATTAATATTTATATTCGACTATAGGATCATATTGTATTATATTATCATCGTATCGAATCGCCAAGATTTACGAGACATAATTATTATTATATTAAAATTCTAAGACGTCTCACGTTCGATTAATCCTACAATAAGGAGTTTAGATTATGAGCGGAGAGAGGAATTTGTTGATTTTGCAATGATGTTTTTTTTTTTTATCGGTGAACAACTTTTCTACTAGAAATTTTGCTACGATTTTTAATTGTAGCATTTTCTTAAAGGGAATCTGACTCGGATGGTACTTTAGCGAGGTTATTTTTTGATTTTCTCGGAGGTTTCCGTAATAAATGTGAAAAACAGGAAAAAAAACGTAGAAAATACTGGAAAAATTACGAAATGTATTATTTTCAAACAAAGATTAATCATTGCGTACAGACACACATTGAATATCTCCTCTACTTTCCCGAACTCTTATCTACAACAGCGGCCCACCGAATCGTGGGAAGTATGTCCGTGTATTTTTATTTTTATTTTTTGTTTTTGTTTTAATTAACATAAACAAATTAGCAAACGAGTGTAAAGCCCCGTCATTTTACGCTTTTCGGTGTTTAGTGTCATTTTTGGAAGAAAATAAAAAAAAAAAAAACCGATAACGTTAAAAATCGTCGGAAACTCCGATAAATTTCGATGAAATTCGGTATATTTAAAAACATTCGCCGCGGTTTCACATTATATTGTATTATGAGTTATGGCATGCGATGTACAGCTATATATAGGTACACGATGGCAAATGAATAACTCGCTATCGTCGGCTTATCGTCGCGCAGCAATATTGTTGTCACGTCTCGGACATCGTCTCGACGCCGCGAGGTTATCGGTGACCTGCGAAGACGACACCGAGAGGAGTATTAAAATACATAATAATAATATTATACCTAATATATATATAATATGTAAGGTATTATTAAAAGGTGCGCGCGATTGATAATTATCGAAAACTCAAAACCGTCAACACCGTAATGTTATAACGCGGATAATGATAATAATAATAATATGCACTATACATCACACACACACACACACACACACACACACACACACACACACATACATACACACGCATCAATTAAAACGAGAAAAATTAGTTGTAAAATATTATTTTATTAATGTTTGTACGGGTATACATCGTCGTAGAGCGATAAACTCGCGACGACCCCGAGGCAACGATAAGACAAACGAGTCGATTCACACATAGTGTCCACGCGCAAACACAAATCAAATATTATTGTATGTTTATTTTTATTATTATTATTAATACACATTGTTAATAATATATGCTTGATATTCATACAATATATAATTATTAATTTATACCCGGGCGTTGTTACGAGGATGACGGTAACGGGACAAAAGAAGAACCGAGAACGCGCATCGCTGTTATATAGTACAGGTGACATTTTTTTCTTTTCATCGTGATCCGGCGATATTAACTATACGAAGATTTTGAGTAAATTTGATTCTCTCCCTATAGACGTTAAGATACAATAGAATAGTTAACCAATCATATTTACATTGTTTTCAGCATTTTACTCTCATATTATTATTACGTAGGTACACGATTCAAAAATAACGCGAGTTTTGTGGAAAAAAAATCAAAAAATTGATACGTGAATATCGGATAGTGGCTAAATATAGACGGTTAGGTAACACTGAGTTATAACGGTTTAAAATGTAAACCGGATGAGCGTTTTAGGGGAGGGAAATTACAATATAATTTCATACATTGTATTCCTCGCTGCAGCAGTCTGGGTATACTCCTATGTGGCTTAAATTATTTTAAATTTTATTCGCTCGGTGTTCATGATAGAAAAATCACCCTGTATAACGTTATTATAATAGCAGTATAAAAGAATCAGGTGAGGCTATCTCGGGGGACCGTGAACTCTGTTTCCTATACGACATCACGGTCGCCCCGCCGCCGCCACCCAATCCCCCCCCCTGAACCACTCACGTCTCACGAGTTAGGGTTTTCACCTCTCGTCGTCGCCGTCGTCAAACACACACAGTTCTCCTCGTAAAAATCGACACGTACAAAACAAAACCATTTATTATTTTGTTTATGTATATATGTATGGTATATATCGTATATTAATATATACGGTACACACGCTCACACTAACGCGGGCGGGCACATATTGGGTGTCGCACACTGTACAATAATGCGCTGTGCATTTGACAGCGGTGAGTGTGTGCGTGTTTACTACACGACTAGATATATATTATTTATATATATATATATATATATATACGTACCTACATAATAATATACACGTGTGTCGCTAGCATACAGAGTGTGTTCGGTGGTGTTTCAGGTGAAATATTATTATGTGTTACTTATCTCCCCGTCGTCGTCGCGGCCTCAGAACACCCCCGCTTATTGTGTTATTATTATTTGCCGTCCTCACATTGACACTTTATCACCACTCGCACGATTTCGCCCGTGTCGGGGGGAGCAAGAAGCGGACACGTCTCCCCCGGGAAAAATTTTAAAACCTATCAAAAAAATGTTGGTTTTTTTTTTATCGAGCCTCGACTCACGACACACAGCCTGGACGATTATTGATTCACCATCTCGTAATGGACCCACTATAAAACTCTATTTCTTGATCTATATATTAGTCATTAAAAATGCGCGTACGAAACCTGATTCCAGTTTATGATGCCCCTGAAAATTATTTTATGGGCACCCTGATCGTTCGCGCTAGTTGCTACTCCGTAACGTATAATACCAATATTATATTATACCATCATAATATACGTCATTATCACGGCTGTACTGAGGGGAAAGAGGGGTTAAGAGGGGCTTCTACAAATTTATTATAGATTAGACAGTGTGTGTAGAGTGCCGTGTCCAGTTAGTCCGAATAAAGCGCCCATGTGCATGGGCCCCGGAGTCGAACTTGAAATTGGGCAATCTTTAATATTTATATAATACACATTTCCGTACTACAAACAATAACATTTTAATGAACATTTTATACACATAATCGATGACACGACGAGACCATGTACGTTCTTGGGGTCAGGGGACTTTCCAAACCCTTTTTGTCGGCAACCTTTTGGCATTGTCATCGAACCCGTCGGATTTTTTACGAACAAATTATTATTTATATTACCTACCTACGGGTATTTTCCCGTATAAGGATTTCGGTTTTCAAACCGACCATTAAAAATAAAGCGTTCATCTGTGTGGTTTATAATAAAAAATAAAAATATAGGTACTTTTTTTTTCAACCGGTTCTCATGGTAACCATTGGCGACTGAGATGTATAATATTATATTATACGAGTGCCTATATACGTATAATACAACGACGCGAGAAGGGAGGGTGGTCGGTAATAATGAAAAATAATAATATTTTAGACCCACCTGGCACGAAAATGTGTACACGAAAAGAAACTGGCCGGATGCACTAAATCAATCAAGGCATTCAAGTATGTATGACGTCACGCGCGTCTCCATTCTTCACCGCGAAGCGACCAATGAGTACGTACACGGCGATCGCGCAGTGCCTGAAGTGTATTTTAGTTTAATATAGGTTTTGAAAGACCATAATATACTATTATAAAATATATAATATGATATTATATTTATTATTATACAGACGCATACAAGCACACACATATTTTTTTTTCCTTTAATTAAATTGGTATTGCTTATTATATACCTATACGTGTAACCGTTTTAAAAAATTAGAAGGACTAACGGTGGAAATCAATTCAATAGAGCCCACATCGTATTCTGGCGATGTCACTTTAAACAAACAATACGACAAATGTTTCAATTGAAATAGGCACGTAATAAAAAAAAAAAATCATTGCAGGCAAACTGCACAATACAGATAGAGTACCTATTATCAACTTGAATCAGTATCATATCTCTCCGATTTATGAAATTCCCACCAAAAAACTATGTGAAGAGACAATATTAACAATCATTAAATATTTGGATATAATATTGTATTCCTATGCTGTTGATTTAAATATTACAGTGAAATGATCTATTATCATACATAAAGATAACAATATTATCTGTGCAATTACATTAGGTTTTTTTTCGATATTTAAATTTTTAAACGAGATATAAGCAGTTTTATATTTTGGTATTCGCATACTAATGCTCCGCCTTAAAATTCTAATATGGAAAAAAATAACCATAGTTTCACAGATAATGTTATTACCTTTAAGTTTTATAATAGGCCAATTTATTTTAATATTAAAGTTAGCAGATAAAAATTGTCCTTGCTAAACGCAAATTTGCTGTCTTACGTTTGTAAGACGGAGATTGTACATGCGGATATCACGTGTCCTCTAAAAACATTTCTGTTTTATTTTATAAATTTAATTTATATGCGTTATACTCGTAAGTACTGCTTTATTGTTATTGCGTTTTTTCTCCATTACTCCCCAGGTTGTGTGAATATTTTTGAAAACATTAATACGTGTATTTATATTAAGCTAAAGGATAGAATCCGAGGACCGAGGGTAAAACCAACCCCTTTTTTACAAACAATACGATAAATAAGTTTATATAGGAGATTACTTAATTTACCATAGGTACTTTAGCTCTTAATCTATATTCAAATTTATTAGAATAACCGAAAACGACGAAAACTAATTAAGTCGCGTATTTTTGTATAATGTATAAAGATTAAAACTTTGATCTTAAAATAAAAATGAAAATAATATCGTTATAGATAATGCAAAATACAATTAAATGTGTATGATGAAGTGTTTCGAAATTAAAACAGTGAATATTGAGTAGCATAGGCGTGCGCAAGGAGGGGTGCAGGGTATGCAATTGCGCCCCCAGCGTCATAATTTAGTCATAATTCTTTTTTTTTAACTTTATAGATCCTTTGCTACTAATACCAAATTCCTCCACTTCTTTCTATTATACGCATGGTTTAGGTCCCATGCCAGTCTGCAGGTTCCTAACCAGTCTGGTATCAACTTCTGCATGTCTTTTTTGATTACATCTAACCACCATTGCTAATCACGTTTCTTTGTTCTACCACGTAGTTTTTACCTTTTTAAGTTATTCACAAGTACCGCCTTAAATATACGTGTGGACTTAAAGCGTCCAGTTTGAGTCAAACTGAAGTTTTTAAAATTTGTAAATCAAAATAATGATATATGTATTATATAGGTTTTTTTTTTTTTATTTTAAGCTGAATAAAATAAATTTAAATATTATCGTAGGGCAATTGAGTAATATTGAACAATTAATATTTATTTATTTTTTTAGTGGCTTATTGCTTATTAGGTATTAATATGTAGTAGTTTAATGGTCTGCACCCCCAGTGAAAATATTTTGTCCTCGCGTATGTTGAGTAGGCACGAGTAAATTTTTTATAAGAATATGGGTATAATATTTCAACCGAAACTAAACTAATACAATTCAAAGCGACGAAGTGTTTGTGTAAAAACTGAGTCATCGGTACTATACCTATTTGTATTGTTTTATACTACTTGATGTTCGTGTTCGAATAATAAAATGTGTTACAGTAATATAAACCACATCGTTAATAAAAAAAATACAAGATACTGTACATGAGTAAAGGCCACTATAATCGCGGCTTATTAAAATCAAAATTTTGACTAAAGATTTTCATAAGAAAAGCGTTTAACGCACCTTGTGTTATATTTTCAAGCATTTTTATAAAACAAATTGTATCCACAAAAAATAAATAAAAATGTTAAACAACTCGTAAATTTCAAATAGCTATAAATAGCTCAAAAATTGTCAGATTGTTCTGAAAATTTAGAAATCGTTCTGAAAACGTTTAGAACGAGCTAATATAAATATTTGGCAAAAATGTCAGGTTCTTTCGTACATTTTCCAGTTCAAATCAATAAACTACATTTCCAGCACTCCAACTAGACGAAATTTACTACCAGAAACCATCCCTGAAGTTGATAATCGGACCAAGATTTCTGATATTTTCTAACATGTCATATTATTATTATAGTAAAACTGATGCATTCCTCGCCACGCTCAGAAGTCAGAATCTAAAACATCGTACGAGCATAGAACATAAATAATAATATAATATTATGCCATTTGACCGATATGATAAAATATTTACATAAATATTCAACAAAACAAAACAAAATAAAACGTTTATCAAATACCGATAACACCGTTGCAGCTACTACTGCACAGGTAAGATAGGTTAGTATAGGTATATTATTACTAAGAGTGCAATGCCGAAGTCATAATATTTTTATTTTATGTTTATTATTATTATTGATTATTTATAGAATATTTCATCTCGCGCATATTTACACACGAACCCACGGACCGAGATGCGATAAAATACCTATACGATTATATAGTAACGATTTAATTGACGTAAAGGTACTACGAATAATACTATGATATTATGTTCTCTTTTGATTTTGTTTATAAACCGGCGGCGGCGACAACGACCGTTGGAACTCTAGTCTCACCTGGCCCAAAGGCCATTCGGGATTATCGCTACCGGTTAATAATGAGAAGAAAAAAACACGCACGCGTGCGCTAGCTATTATAGCCCGCGAACGCCGCCGGTTGCACGTCCGTACGGTCGACCCTTTTAGCTTATTTTTTTTATTATTATTTTTTTTTTTTTTTGTTATATTTCCCCTAGACAATATTTAAAAACGGATTCGCCCCGGAGCTGTCGATAATCCACCGCTTTAAAAATGACCCCTGATACAAATTCTACGCCGACTCCAGTCTCCCCCGACCCCGATTTCTATATATATATATATACTAAAACGTCTAAAACCGGTGCGGGGAAACTGTACGCAGCACAGTCCGAGGGGGGTTTGCGATGTTATTGTAAGGTTTACAATAGTAAAACGACAGAAAAAAAAACAAGTATTTTTACTTCACCTGGTGTATACCATACTCGTATATAATATACGGACGAGGAGGGCGCGTGGCAAAAATCTGCGGACCCACAAACAGCGCAGCGGAGTGGGTCGACGACCCCCTCTCCCGGATAATTAATTTCGCACGGTTGATCGTCGTGGACGCACAAGCTAAATTAAACTCACCCCCTACCGACAACGGACAAATAATTTACATCGAAACGTAATTTATATTAGGTATGACGTGTCGATTTTATAATATCGTATAATACCCACCTACGAAGTCTGATAAAACGAATATTATTATTATAAGGGCTTTTGTCGTATGTTATAATAAGTTTTTTTTTTATCGACAAGAAACTGTTAAAACTTTCTTTTTTGTTGCATTAATTTATTATATGAACAGCATTATAATTTCCCGTGTACAGTGAATATGTATATACACTTATCAATAGTAGCGTGTGCGGACCTTAGGATTATAATATACCCCCCCTTTTTAATACAGCAACACAGAGTATTTAATTTATTATCTTTTAATCTTGAAACGTATATATATATTACTCAACCAAATCACAAGGATAAATTTGATTATTGATTAAAAATTCGTTTTTTAGAACTGACTTTTAAAAATTCAATGGTTAGTTCGGAAAAGAAGAAGATTATACGATCTCATTGTTATGATTAATATTTGTGATATCCCCTCCCATTGCAAATTCTTGGGAAACTGCTTCACAACTATAATTATTTAATAGTATAAGAAGTTTACCCACATAGATTGCTCGATTTTTTTTATTTTTTCGTATTCGTAATTTATAATTTATTACGAAAAAATATTTTCAAGTAAAATCAACAAAAAACTAAAAACTAGATACAAATGATACAAAATGATACAATGATACAAAAGAGATTAACTAAAAATGTGATATATCTATTTAGTTTTGGCAACATTTTTTTAGTTAAAACAAATTAGTCGATAATCCATTAAAGGTTATTATTATTCTATATAATATTAAGGATAACGCATTTCTTTAATACAATATTTTACTATACATTCGTACTACATCCTGTATATTAATATGTATTATATTATATTTTTTGAGAAAATTAGTAAAATGATTGATATATTATGTATAATTACCTATTTATGTATAGATCAAACACATATGCAATACATAAATATGTTATATATGTTTTTAACAAAATAACGGTTTGTTAAATCTATTATTTATGTGCAGTCACTACTCTACGTTACAATAAAGATAAATAAATTACGAGTAAATACATGTATTGTCTCTGTTTAATAAAGTGCCTTGCTCGCAAGTAAAAAAAAATTCCATAATTTTAAAATTTTGAGTTCAATACGTACAGTTATTAATAACATTTTAGCATTTTCTAAATCGTAGCATCAGTTTACCTAATAAATAGTACTTATTTTCAAGTTGTAAAACAAATCGATTTTACAACTATTTATTTGATTAAATGCATTACCAATATATAACACATATTGTATCATCAGAGTACAAAATATTTCTAATAAATCAAAATTTGAATGTAAAAATACACACAGATAATAACGGTTAAAACAAAATTTGATCGTGTTACCTATTTTAAATTTTTTATTAAAACAACCGTCATATAATTTTTTTAGTACCTACTTATTTATTTGTGTAAATAATTATTAAACGGAATATACAAATTAAAAACTACATATATGTAACAATATGATATATTCATTATAGTTCTTTGTTATTGTTACTACGATTTGATGAGTTATCAAATTAATTACTGAATGTTAGATACAATAAGTATTGAAAAATATAGGTAAGTATTAAAATATGCATTTATACATAGGTACGGAATGGTACGTAAACAACAATTTTTAACGATTTATTGATTAACAATTTTGTAATTCCGAAGATTTACGTGGGTCACTGATATATACCTGCATAATATTAATAAACTCGATTTTCTTATCAATTATTAATCAATAGGAACTTTAAACAAAAAAAAGTCGATATTGCTTATATGGGTAGGCCACTGTCTTAGGTGGATAGTAGGTAAAATTGGATATTATACTGGATTACTGCGTGAACAAATTTAAGAATTTGGTAAATCAAAAATCGTTTTCAAAAAAACCAATGGGAATATTTACGAAAAATGTTTTAAATAAAGAATCATCAGTCAAAAATTCCGCATTATTCCAAAATTGTATTTTACTTATATTGCTACAGTTATATTATATAAATATAATTGTTTAAAATAGGCACACATGGTAAACAAATGCTTAATGGTATTAGGTAGCGAAACTTAAGAACCGGTTTTTAACGTCGGCTCAAACAAAAGAAAAAATAAAATAAACGAGACTATGGGGGATGCCTAAGAGCTGATCTAATTTCATTTCAACGTTCGAAAAAAAAACCATTATATGAATCAGCAACACTCATTGTCGTTACAAATCCTAAATGTATTTAACGCCCTTAAAATCGCAAATGTCATTTGTTATATTCGATATAGTAGGGTGAACAAAAAAAAAACAGGTGAACCCTTAGGGGTAAGAGGGTGACGTCACACGTGGGTGGCGGTGGCAGCCATGTTGCCGGGTAGTAGCACGTGCCAGCGGCGACCGTGTGACCGCCCTCGCGGCGTCAAAGAGGGTTAAAAAACACAATGGCCCCAAAAATCTTTGGCAGATCTAACAATAATAATAATAATAATAATAATATATGATCTACGTTTATCTGCTGAATAACACTAGGAGATCTATATATAATAATCTGAATTGAACGGTAGGCCAAACGGCGGCAAATTTACGACTATATACATCCGACTCTACTTATATATAGCGAAACAAAAACACTTACCATTTTTCCGCTGAGGTTTCGCTTGTTTTCTCCTTCCTCTCGACGGCGACAAAAGTTCTGCCGGCCTGCTTTGGTCCTCTACAAGCAGCGATGATTCCATTTCTCATTGAACCGGTCGTACCATCCACGACAGCGGATCCCATAAATTTTCAATAGCAGTCGGTTAAGAATACGTGTCACACCGGGCTGTTTTTGAAATGTATAAAATAATTGAAAGCGATATAAACTTATATGATCTATGAATTTCTCGTATAAAAGTTAATGTTATAAAATCGACGGTATTTGTAGTATTTTTAAAATATTTTTAGTGTGTTAATACTATCATAATTATTATACAGAAAGAGAAAGAACTATATGATTAATGTTTGAGTGGACGTAAAAATAAAAAAATTAGATTAAATTAGATGCGCACTATTTTTTTTTTTTTAGGAGAACGGAAGTAGTATGAGTATAGAATGCGGGGATTTGCGGGGGAGAGGAAGGGAGGAAGGGTAAGGAAAGGGTTATGTCCGACGAGACGAATGTCGTGTGATGATGCTGGATGTGTCGTCGGACAGCGGACGGGCTGCCGGGACAAAAGACGGGCAAAAAGACGTGAAGGAGGAAGAATAAAAGAAGAGCATAGCACGCGCGGAGTGCGGGTGAAAAGTGCGCGGCGCGGACGTCAAACCACCGGCATTGCTAGTCCGGACTGCTGATATTGCCGCCGCCGCCGTGGACGCGCGCGCCGTTTCCAGGGGGACCGTCTGAGTGCAGCACACGGCGTACACACGTTGCGTTGTGCAGTGTTCCCGTGCGCCGCCGTCGCCGCCGCACCGGCGCCCATAGCCCCTGACGGGGAGGCTGAAGGGAGCCGGCGATGCGTCGAGACAGCAGATCGTCGGCAGTGGCCGTGGAGAGGCAATTTATTGTGAACGGTGAATCACTGATCGGACGGCGGCGTGGGGGTAAGTGGGCGTGTTGTAATCCTTTCACACGATAAAATTGATCTCCGCCGTAACCGATGTCACATTACCCTAGATACGCGATCGCGGTGACAGGTTCCGGTGTTTTAAGTTTTGAATTTTATTTTCTTTTACATTATACATATATAATAAAATATATACACAATAATATATTTTTTATTTGTAGAGTTTTAGAGGTGACGAAATTTCCATTCATCCATTTCTCACCTATTGCCGTAAGCCAAAACGTCTAAGACGGACACCGCCACACGTCTTCCTAATGATAATAATAATAATAATAATAGTAATATAGTCGTTCTCAAAATAAAAATGATATAAACTTGTCCTAACGTTCCGCAATAATTTAGTTAATGGCCAGCGAGAATACGATTAAAAAAAAAAACTGCGACGTGATCATTCATGAAAAAATAAAATAAAATATGAACTTGGACGCGAATAAAAATTATAGTAGATTAAATGTTAATCATTTTTTTGTTCCATTCTCGTTATTACAATACCAATCTATTACTAAAGCTGAACCAGTTGACAATTGCGCGTAAATAATAAAAATAATAAATATACTTAATTAATTAAATTCGATACAAGATATTGAACTAAGCTAACTAATAGATTGATTTTACAATGATGTTTATTTTATTATAATTATTATTATTGTTTTTTTTTTTTGATATCTTTTTTTTTGAACTGTGCACATTTTTTCTACCAAAAATCTTAGTCCGATTTTCAAGTGCAATACCTTTCCTGAAAAGAAATTTTATCTAAATGGTAATGTATGGAAGTCATTTTTCATTTTCCAAACGATTAATTATTCAAGCTTCATAATAATTGAAAAAAAAAACGGTAAAAAACGTATAGGAAAAACGGAACTTTGTCGTATTTTATGATAAAAAATAAAATTGAATGTACACTATAGAATTTTAGATTCTGAGTGGAGTGAAGCGAATAAGAAGCTAATGGTTTTACAATAATATACATTTTATTTTAGATTCCAAGCGTAGCGAGGGAGCTATTGGTTTTACAAAAATGTTAATTTTTTTTTTCATCGGATGACTTTTTTAATAAGCATTTTAAATTCAAATTTAAACGAAAATCGCAAAAAAAAAAAATACGGCGCTTCAAATTATATATTACTGAACTATGCTCAGAATAGTCTTTCGTCAAGCAATGGTTTATCATTGCTTACAGATATAAATGAAATAACCTTATGTATACTACCTTCCAAACTTCTCACCTACAACAGTGGCCGCTCCCATCTCCAGCATCAGCTCTTTGTTTTTTTTTTTCGAACTATGGACAACTTTTCTATTAGAAATCTTGCTCCAAGTTTTAATTATAGCACTTTTTATGGAAGAGAATCGGACTTTAAGAAGGTCAATTTTCGATTTTTCCAAGAGTTTTCCCAGCAAATGTAAAAACCGGGGAAAACATGGAGAAACTAGGAAAATTGGTATATTAAATAAATATTATTAAAGAAAAAATATAATACCTATTTAATTATTTTATCAAAATATGACATATATATTGTTGACAAAGCATCATTATCAACTGAACTCCACTCAGAATCATTTTTTTGTTAGCAATGGTTTATCGTTATTTACATGTATACATTAAATTACCTACAATAGTGGCTGAACCCGTTCCCATTATCATAAGATACCTTTTTATAATGATTTTAATATCAAATTTTGACAAAAATCGTAAATATTTCGGCTTTTCAAAATATGTAAAACTAAACTACACTCAGAATCGTTTTTCGTTAGCAATTAGCGTTAGTGTTAAAATAAAAAATAATTAATCATTGCGTACAGATACATTAAATTATCTTTATCTTCTACCTTCCCAACTTCTCACCTACAACAGTAGGTCCACCCATCGTGTGAAGTATGTCAGTCTTTTGATTTGTGTAGTTTTAGGCAATTTTATTAACTTGGTATAAAAGTCTAATATTAATAAGATTATTACATCAATTAAATAATAAAACATAACATAAAATTTAAATAGTTTATTTATTAACACGTGAATTGTATACGTATACGAAGGGTTCAGGGAAATAACAGGAATAGTATCAAATTTAGATTATTAAGTTCTCTTTTATTCCTATTGTTTTCCTGTATTTCTAAACATTTTATTGTGTCATTAAATAGGAGATATAATACTAACAGTTTATATAGGTATTAGCATTAAATTTTAGTAAAAAGATGTGGATTTTCCTACGAAAATTATTACAATTTTTCCCCATACTATTACTTAAATATTAAAGATTCACTACATTTTCAGAAAATTGTCTGTTGGGAAATAAATTTAGATTCTATAAGTTGATATTAAAAAATATTTGATATTTTTGAAAAAATGTAGTATTAAATTTAAACGAAAATTCAAATTAAATTAAATACTATAACGTATACAAAATTTACTTATAAATAATTGGCATTTGTACAATAACATTTTGACAAATTTTATGAATCGCATAATACATAAAACAAAAAACCGAAAAAATAGACTTCATGTTCTTTTCCCGGGCTATTTATATACAATATACATTTACCTAATCAATTTAGGAAACACAAAATATTATAGTTTCTAATTTCTAATATCTATACGGATAGATATAACCATATAAGATAGTATAACTTATTCATATACTATAGATATAGGTACATATAATTTATTATAATTATGGGATCAAGATATTTGAATTCAAACAATGTCGAAATACGATGCTAAAAACATTATAAAAAAAAACCTAGAAATTTAAGGGATTGCGTATAAGCATATTTCAAGACTTTTTAAAAAAAATATAAATTGGTCAATTTAAAAATTCTCAAATTCCCTATGAAGTACAAGTTTAGTATGGTATCATCGTCACGCTTTAAACTAGGGGTGGGCCGATGCATAAACCTATACTTGTCATCGGTAGTGTCGGTTTTATCGTTATCGATTTTTTTTTTTTCATAACTAATATATGACCCGATATTTTCGGAAAAATGCATATTATTATGAGTAATAATATAATCTATTCGGTATTAATAAATCAGATTTTCAACCTGAAGTTAATTTCAGTATTGAATTATATGGTTTTCGATTTCAAACATCGGATATTGAATATAATAAGTGTTTCTATATCGGTAGTAATATATAGCATATCAGACATCGGTAAAAAGTAACGGCCTACCCTCTAATATAAACTAAAATGTTTACGAACACATGTTTTGCGTGGGACAACTTAACTCTAGTTGTATTTATATAGTTAAAAAATTCCACAAGAAATTAAACAGAACTTAAATTCTATCTCGTAGCGCACTAATTTGTTTGTTAACATAATTATAATAATTGTAGTAATAATCTACTACTTATATTGTTGTATTGTCTCACTGTATATTTATACAGTTGGAGTTATCTGTTATAACTTTCCATCTGTCTTGTTTTAGATTCTGAGCTAAAAAATTTGCTCCGATTTCCAAGCACCTTTTCTGAAAGAAAATTTTCCTGGGGTGGTACTTTAAGAAGGTAAGTTTATGATTTTCCCCGAAGTTTTCATAATAAATGCGAAAAACCAAGAAAAAACGTAGGAAAAACGGACAAATTTACAAAATTTATTATTTTTAAATCGTAAATATTACGGCTTTTTAAAACATGTACAATCGAACTCCGCTCAGAATTGCCTTTCGATAGGAAAGATTAATCATTACATACAGATATGCATTAAATTCCCCTCTATATTCTACCTTCTTAACTTCTCACCTACAACAATGGCCCACCCATCGTGTGAAATAAGTTTATCGGTTTTTTTCTCATTTACTTATTAAAAATTATTGGATAGTGTTCTTAATATAATAAGCACGCTACAGAATAAATAAAGTTCTAAGGATCCCCCCCCCCATGTAATATAATAGTCAATACCACCACCACCGTTATCGCCACGCTACAGTATGCAGAATCCTTTAATTCGGCGACTATCAAAGTATCACTATCAACTGAACTCCGCTCAGAATCGTTTTTTTCGTAAGCCAGGGCTTAAATATTATGTCCCCTGACACACTTTGTATTTCCTGAACTACAAATGTATGTCCTAAATTTTATAACGTGTTTTTAGTTTTAATTGTAGATATAACAAACAAATCAGAATTTGAACACA